TTGGGGTTTAGGTGTTTTGGGGTTTGGGGTTTAGGGGTTTAAGGGCTTAGGGTTTGAGGTTTAGGGTTTTAAGGGTTAGGGTATGGGGTTTAGGGGCTTAAGGGATAAGGGTTTAGGGTTTAGGGATTTAAGGGGTTATGGTTTGGGGTTTAGGGATTTAAGGGTTTAGTGTGTGGGGTTTGAGGGGTTTAAGGGTTAAGGGTTTGGTGTTTAGGGGTTTAGGGATTTGGTTTGGGTACTGCCCCCACCCGGTAACAGTCTATATTAGGGGTCCTATTAAAGGCTATATATACCCATATTATAATTATTGTCCAACTGTTACTGAGGGGGGGGGGGGCAGTATCCAAGTTTGGCTTTTAAGGGTTAAGGGTGTGTGGTTTAGGGGTTTAAGGGGTTAGGTTTGGGGTAAACCCTAAACCCTGAACCCTAAACCCTAAACCCTAAGGTATAGGGGTTTAAGGGTTGGAGTTTCTAGTTACCGAACGGATTGTGCTGAAGCTGTTTAGGCTGAGGCTGTTAAAGTTTCTTCCTACACCCAACGAAGTCAAGCGCAAACGGCACACCAAAAAGCAGGAAATCCTTTGCCCTAGACTCTATTGTAGAAGTCTGAATCACTATTAAGATTATCGTCCTTTGCAGTCCTTAGCTGTATGTATCGTACAGCGTGCGCCAGAAGACAATTCTGATAAATCAGCTCCTAGGCTCTAACCTATAAGCACCTCTCTCACACGGTTTAGGGTTTAGGGTTTAGGGTCTTTCCGTTTTGTTTCGATTTGATTCTCCACTATACGTGTACCAGACTCTTTACGACGCCCATAATGTCCGGCAAAGCCCCATCAATGCCATGTAACCCGCATAACGCGCGATCAAATCTTTACAACCTGCCATCTTGTATGACCCCTATAGCTATATACTATATTATATGACCTGGTCCTATACAACTACATAGCCCCAACGATGTCCTGCATCATCCCTGCAAGATGCTATAAAACCTCAAGAATATCGTATACAAAAACAAAAAAACCATATAGTATCCTGTATGCCCCTCACTTCCCCTGCAAGATCCTGTAGTGTATAGCCCCTCTTATGTCCTACAATACCACAAGACAGACCGCTCCCTTCAGAGGCTGCAGTGCTGGTGTTGGACTAACCTGCGAGATCATTGCCAACTTGTCCGCAAGTGCGGGTTTCCATAGCGGTCCTGGGTGCAGGGTTTAGGTTTTGGGGGTACTGTTTGGGGCTTAGGGTCTAGGGATTAGGGTTTGATCCCTTATACTGATCCCGTTGTTGGGTGGTAGTTTGAAGGGGCCTCCATTTTTGGAAATGCACATTTGGGGATCAAGGCGCCGTCACCTTCACACAGGTTCAAGTTGCATTCAATAGAACCCGACACCTCGTCATGACAAGACTGAGCCCTTACCAGATCCGGTCGACAGGGGGGGAATGGCTTTGGAACAGACCAGGAGCCTGAGAAAAGGTTGCTTGGGGTGAGATTTTGCGAAACCCATGTAGGCCCGGCATCTTTCAGATGACTGTATGGTCTTGATAAGGTTATGTCATTTTGGAGTGCAAGGAGTTTTGACACCAAGGTTAATCAGCAGCTACATCGGCTGGCCAGATGTGAGAGTGACAGTGCGTAGTGCGAGAACAGGGTTTGGGTGAGCAGAGATCTGAAATTATGTCCAGGGAATATCCTGCAGTCCCTTCTAGCCGTTACTGATAAAAACCTCGTGTTGTGAACGAGGTCAGTGCGGAACCTGGCACCCCGAACCTGTCCTGTAGGGGTTATCTGTAGGAATCCCCCCAAAGGAGAACCCTGAATTTGCATTGACACTGCAACCCGAATGCACCGATGGATGTCCCTGTGTTTGATGACGGTCAGAGTTGCGCAGCAGTGATGTAAAGCATCGGCAGAAATGAAACAATGCTATCTAGGCAAATTAATTTGCCTTCAAGGTGTGCAGTGTAGCCTCAGCCTCTTAGGGGGTTTCTTAAAGTTGCTTTCCGATCTAACCTGCACGGGCCGCCTGTACTTTCGATAGTTTGCACATGCTGTACGGGCATCACCCCATTAACTCTAATCAAAAGTGTTCTGGTGCAACTAAGCGTTCTCTGAACAGGAGAGTTGAGCCTGCACGTTGTCAGAATGTTCGCTTCCCGCAGCGGCAGCCTGACAGAAAGTTGTCCAAACAGCCGTACTTGCCAACAATAATAGCAGCCGTCACAGTAGTTGTCGTAGCAGCGGCAGCAGCAGGCTATACCAGGTGAGCGATCTACAATTGCGGTTATGGAGTAGATGGGGCAACAGCAAGGTCAATAGGACAGTTAGAGCCCCAGCGAAGCTTGGTGCAGGCAAGAATGCGCGAAGCTAGCACACGGTGTGCAGAGGAAGTTAATGAGAGAGAATTCCAGAGTCACGGCTGCTGGCTGCTGAAAGTGTATGCCCACAAGGGCTCGCTTGCCAATTCCGATCCCTAAACCCTAAACCCTAAATAGTGTGTTCCATTTTCTTTTTCCATCATCCCAATATATAATCCCTATATACTTTTAGATAAGCCCTATATACCCCTACAAAACCACCCATGTAACCCCTGCATGATCCCTATATAACCCCCTATACCCTAAACCCTAAACCCTAAGCCCCATATAACCCCTTTGCCGTGCTCCAAGACCAGGTCATGGCTTGCAGGGTACCTGTAAAGGGCGCACTCAAGCATAGTAGGTTTAGGGTTTAGGGGTTTAGGGTTTAGGATTTAGGGTTTAGGGTTTAGGGTTAGGATTATGGGAGTACATTTAAGTTACCCTGATTCTAGCATATTAAAATATATTATGGTATAGAAAAATCTGTCCCAGTAGGTTTAGGGTTTAGGATTTGGGAGTACATTATAGTACACGATAGCATATTCTAGTGGGCAATTTAAAGCGACCTCACCCGACCTCACCCTAAAGGGTGTTTTATAAAGGGAATAGTACCCATAAAGTGGGAATTGAAATTACTCTAAGTTACCCTGATTCTAGCATATTACAATATATTATGGTATGTAATAATCTGTCCCCGCCGACGTGCGAACAGAAGGATCAGTAATCCCCTCCCCTAATAATGAATTCCTCTACCCCGCCCTTTATTGAATACTCCCTTTATGTGGTATATTGCAGTATATTGGGCATATTCAGTATTAGGGGGCGGGGGTGGGGGGGGGTTTAATACTATGGGGAGGGGATTATATACCTCAGGCAGCTTTGAATTTCAACCAAAGTTCATACCCTGACTCAGTTACAGCCGGATTCTTATTCAGAAGCCCTAAACCCTAAACTCTAAACCCTAAACCCTAAACCCTAAACTCTAAACCCTAACATGTTATCATGGCCGGGCTGCGCGCCAAGAACGGGTGTTTTGTACCTCTAAAGGTTATAGTTTCTTTAAAGGGGTTTAGGGTTTAGGGTAGACAGAGTTTGGCTATGAGTATATTATACTAAGATCCCCATACAGCCCATATTCTATCTACTTAGGGGGGAGTGTAAGACCGTTTCCAGGTTTAACCCTCACGCATAACCTGCAAGATACGAGTGGTCCACAAAAGGATCTCCGAAACAAAGTCATCTGTTTTTGATGCAGCTTGTGATGTCCACGCTTTTCCTCCACTATCCTCACAACACCAGCATCAAATCTAAGAAGGGGCCTCTTTCCTTTGACATTTAGCTCTTGGATTGGGCCCCCACCCAGTAATAGTGGTTTTATAGGAATATGTTGGGATCCCAATAGACTTACCCAGTATCCCTGGCGCAGCCAGGTCCACGTTCGCATGATGGAGGCTCAGCCAAAGAAGTCGAGCTAGCTGCCCGGCGAGAAGGCCAAGGCAGGATTAATTCATTGTGAGGAGGGCTAGGGTTTGGGTGTTGGGGCTTTTGTAGGGGAGGCATATGAGGTAGGGTGTTCGTGACAGCCTTTGGTGGGTGTATGTAGGATTGCTCAGGAGTGTTGGTGAGTGTAGGCGCCAGAGGAAGGAAGACCATTACTACAACTATGGGCTTTTTGCATAGATACACCTGCGTCATGATGCATGTAGGCCGAGTATTGCAGGATTTTTGTAAGGTGCTCCTGTACTTATGGGCCTGACTCACGGCAAGTTCATTTAGAGGGGGTATGCTGTTTAGTGAATGTGTACGAAGGTTGCTAGTAGTTGCATGAAGTGCCCATGCTGCGGGTAGGGCTTGGAATCGGCATTGACTGAGTGCTTTCCAGCCTCCTTATGGCTTCCGGTCTGTTTGCGACGAGCACTTGCGTGGGATGAGACCTCGTGTATTGCGTACTGAGATACAGGACGGCCATTCAATCATGGGTTCCAGTAGTACCCCCCTCTATACTAACCCCCCTAGGTTTCCCCCTTAATTAATCTTAGTTAGGCCTAATTATCCCTAAATAACCTTAATTAAGAGGGGACCCTAGGGGTGGGTGGTATAGAGGGCGGTACTACTTGAACCCATGATTCAAGAAGGCTACTCCGATGATGTTCTTCTCCGGCGAGGATTGTTTGAGATACGGCAGACCGTTTTCGGGCAAAAGCACCCATCAAGCGTAAGCTAACTTTGGATGCCCTCAAGGTGCCTTTGCATTTCTGCAGTCGCAGGCTTAGCTGAACCTGTGTGACTTTTTCACAGCTCAAGCAATTGAATGCGTGTGAACACAATTCAAAATAATTCTGGGCGGCGCTTCTGTTTTCCGACATGATACTGTAGCACTCAGAACGAGAAACCTTCCAAGTAGCACGAGCTACACAAGCTACGAAAACAAGATTTCTAGCGTGATGCTAGCATACTACTAGCCGTTCGTCATACTTTCACTCGCGCTTTGAGCTCGACGAAATTTAAGTTCATGCTGGCAATAGGATTACACCAACAGCCTTGACAGCAGCAATGCAGGTAAGGATCCAGGCAGGCCGTGGAAGAGAGCGTGCTGGGCATGCTGTCAGCTGAAGGTCACGGGCCATTTTTCCTTACGATTTAGACCAGTCGATTTGAACAACTGCAGAAGGATGACGGCAATTATTCGAGCTGCAGCTTTCAGCAAGAGGCGCCAACGTGAGCGTCCTGAATGGCAAGTGCCACTAAAGTGCGCCGCCTAGGCAGACCGATCTCAGCACGACGACCCCCAAAAGGAACCTGCAGTTTGGAATCTTGCCGCAAATTTTCTGTTGGGTAGAGTGCGCAGAAGCCAGAGGGGCCGCAGTCTGAAATGATGCTCTTGATGCAGAGCTTTTCTACAGCACGCTGCCAAGAGCAAATCCTTGCAGGCTGCAGCCTTGCGGTTCAAGCAGGCACTTATGGTTCATGTCCCTGGGCTGGTGTAGCCCCTTAATCATGCCGGCCAAAGGCACGCCAATGCGTAGAGCCATGGTGGCGCTGGCTGCTTTTCTGGCAGCTTGTGCTTGGCACGGAGGCAAGCAACGGCAGGTCTTCATAGCGCAGCCATCGCTTCAGCGATCCCAGATAGCCCCGAGAACTCTGCGGGCTGCCGAAGAAGTGGCAGGAACTTCTGAGGACGCAGCTTCTGAGGTCATGTCTAATTGGGAAGAGTATGAGGAGAGCGACATGGCGATCCGAATTGGCAATGAGACCAATGCATTGGAGGCTGGAAAGGTAGCAGCAATCCGTCTCCAAGATTTCGGCCAAGTATGCATTGACTGCAGCGGGCCAGTCCGTATCAGCAAAGGCATATTTGCTGCCGCCCTGGTCAAAAAGTGGCGTGTGAACACCTTTAGCAGATTTAAGGCACAAGTTGCAGTGCGCCCAGTCATGATGATGGACAACCGGTATGACAATCCCTCGTACATCATGCGCTTGCAAGTGGCCCCTGTCGTTGTGCCGGAGACCTCAGGAGAGGTGCTTACTTGCAAAGCAGCCGCGACAGATGATAAGATCAGTGCTGCAGCAAAACTTATTAGCAGCGAAGTGGGAGCGAAAGGTAGAGTGCGCATGACCGCGATCGGCTCTAGCAGCTTGAATCGCGTGCTGAAGTCAATCTTCCGAGCCAATCAAATGATCAAAAGCCGGAATGACAAAGCAAATGTTCTCTGGGCTTTCCCAGGGTTTGAAGAGATAGAAGGCAATGCTGGAGACATGATGAATGCAACAGTCTTGGACATCGTGCTTGCCCCGCCATAGACATCTACAAGCAAACATCGACGCTGCCACAAGAGCCAGCTCTGCCGGCAGAATGTGCCCGTAGGATCCTGCTTCGGACATCTGGCAGCCTTCAGTACGAAGCCAGCAAAGCGTCAAATAAAAAGAAGCATCCTGAATCAGATCATGTCATCCCTACAGCATGTTGACAAGCCGGTGGGAGAGTTTGAGTCCATGATGCTCAGCTGCTAGTCCATGGGTCCGTTTTGACGAGCTTGCTACCGGTCTTCGTTTAGGCCCAAGAACTCATGACGCAGTTCCGTGCGCATGATGATTGACGGGACATCAAGTGCTTCATGAAGCTGTCACACATCGCACTTGCCAGCCAGCTACCTGACCTCGCCAGCCAGCAGACTAGGTCGCCAGCGCACACATAGCTGTAGAAGGGGCAGCGCGGGACCTGCGGCCGTCTCATTTGGAACTTTGACGTTCCTTGCCTGCAGGTCCAGTTAACTGTGCCAAGACTGACGCTGCTACCATAAGAGTCAAGTACCTAAGCAGCATCCCTTTGGGGTGCGTTATGACCCCGAGGAAGTGCGTTAAGGGCAAACTGAATGCCGCTTTGGAAGCAGGATACCTTTGAGGCTGGACATATGGGATTTTTTCTCACAATTACTTTAGCACTCCAGCACACACGGTAGAATCCAACATCGGGCACCCTCGAGGATAACAATAGTAGAAGGGGCATTATAAAAGTAGAACTTTGAATGAATTGTTGTTCTTGTTTTTCGTAGTAGTAGCAGCAGCAGGAGGAGTACCACTACAGAGTAGAAGTTCTAGTGGTGTTACGGCTGCAGCAGTAGCAGTACGTGGTCGTGGTCGTGGTCGTGATGGTGGTCGTCGTCGTAGTCGTAGTGGTAGTAGTA